AAGGAGCCTTGTCAATGGAATCTAATTAAACTAGAATATACGAAAATAAATAGCGGTTTACTAAAGAATTTATTAAATCAAGGCTTTTATCAGAGTAGTTCAGTAACCACATATAGGTAAAACCTTTTTAAGCATAACTAAAAATTCTGATAAATTCATTTGTTAAGATTTCAAAATGAGAAATCATACATAATGTTTTAAAGTATCATAAATAGAAGTTAAATGAGTAATTTGCCCTTTAAAAGTAAAATATTCCCAAATAAAAATATCATTCTCAGCCATTTCTAATTCATATCATTTTCCTCTCATCTACCACCATAATATACTCATCCATTATCCCTACATCCTCCCTTTCCTATTACCCGCCGTTACGATCATGTATCGGAAGCATAATGATGAGTGGTATACAGATTCGGTACTATAATAATTTTGTCTAAGAATCTGTATCGCTTTCAGATAAAGTTGATTGAAAAACATTAGCCTATCCATAGCACATTAACAAAATTATTTATTTGTTTATCTGGGATGCCATATTTGCAGGCTCAAACTATTATGTAACCAGCATTTAATTCCTGAGTAACCGTAATTCCCGTAAGAAAATTAGCCTGTTTCATTTTATTATATAATCCTAAGGTCTAATATTCCCACTTTTAACGCTAGTAACTAATTAACATTGATGCCCCGCCCCTAAGTAGGAGATCTGTGTAACCCCGGTAATAGGTCAGTCTGCTGTACATAATTTATTCAGATTTAGTTATTCAATGACATCTGCTCACCACAAACTTCGCCAGGCCTCAACCGATAGGCGCCTTCCACAATCGGTCTGGCATCCGATGTCGACTCCATGCCAAGTTCTTTATTCGCAGGTTCATAGTCCACAGCCACGGGTAAAGCACATACACGGAACTTGTGGACGCCAATATGTTCACGCCTAGGCTGTAAGCGTATGATACAGAGCTGGTCATTAAACGAGGCCCAAGGCCTTTCATGAATGCCCCCACCACTGGCCCCGATGCTTCCTCCGATCGAGTGGGTAAGCACCGGTGGCAAGAGAATCATTTGTCCG